AATGACCCACCCAGATGACTATGAAGGATATGCAGGCGATGAAGACGGTATGGAAAGGACTTGATAATAGAGATAACATGACCTTCTGTACATTATATTTACTCTAGAATATCTACGTAAACGAACTATAGAGTTTTGGGAGGGAAGCCCAAACCGTCGAATCTACAGGGCAAAGTTTAATGGCTAACGAATTCAGAATTACCTTGAAGAATCCAAAGTCCTTGTTAATAGCTGCGATAAACGCAGCGACGCTTCGCCCCCCAAAAGACTGTAGGATATCTTCGACTGCTAATTATTAATTTCCTTCTGTGGATGGAAACTTGGCTTCTAGCAATGCACGATTAGTACAGGAAGACGAGTATGATAATAAAATACTCGGTACTTGGGGACTACCATGTGCTCAATCCATATGATGAGCCTCCGTATCTAGACCCAGAACCATCTTTCAAGCAACGAATGCCCAGCTTCTCAGACGGGTTTCCTGTTAAACATTACAATAAACCGTCCCGGGACAAAAGGGCTCAACCTTACCAGCCACTAAAAAAATGCCACCTTACCACGAGTCATTACCTGTGCCACAAATATGTTACCATACTTGCTTGGTTTAGATTAAATTAGGACCCTAAAAAGCTAGGCTCAGTCAAGATGTCCTGCCACAGTCACGGATTGCACATAGTTGTGGACTGACAGTGTCTTCAAGCCGCGGCATTTTCCCAGATGGTCAAGACCATTTTACGATAATTGGTGTCTAGCCAGTACTAACTTTCCACACCCAGGATCGGCCGAGACCAGCAAGGGGCCGGAGGCTTGCTTCAATCACGTCTGGAAATACCTGTGCCTCAGGAACCACAAGCACGTGGCCTCAACTCTTTTCTCTACTCGGTTTCTATACCACTCATATGTGGCGTCGCTGCCGTCAGTAGTGAGGCGGAAGAACTGGTTACGCACTTTGGCTTCTTCGAATAATCTCTTCTTAGCGTTGTCTGTCTGGACTTGGGTGAGCTCCCCTGCACAACCCAATTGCCTCATTGCAATGTTGTGGAGGTCTATATATGAGAGTCAGCATGCAATTATGGAATGATTGCAAGTCCTTGGACTTTTATTTACTGGACAGAATATCGTTTATTTTCTCCTCGGCTGCGACAAATCTCCGAGGGATCCTGTATAGAAGATCTTTCACAAAGGCAGCTGCGGCCATTGCCGTATAGTTTCTGACCTGCAATTGTTGTCACTGATGATAGCCTCGATAACCATATATTGAAAGTCTCTGAAACTGCGTTGCTCTTGCAATTCTTCAATCGTCGAGTGGGCTTGTGGATGACCAGGGTCTACGACACCCTTTCTCAACGCCACCGTTGGGTTAACCGTAATCCTGACAAGTAGCATATGTTATGCCTGATTTTGCGCACAAACGACATGATCACAGCGAGTCTAGGAACAAGGATGACAGGAGGCCGTGCTTTGGGTGGCAGCCGGGGTAAGAGGAAGGTGCTTGATAGGTCTTCCGGACCTCTCCTGGTACCCAGCCTTCGCAAAAGGTCCATCTATTCGATTCCTATCCCCCCTTATGCAAAATTTTGCCTTCTCAGTCATACATGTGCATCCTTGTAAGTGGTTTGTTGCCGTTCCCGTGGCGTGTCAGTGGCCAACTGAGAATCCGGATATCAATAAGGACGGGAGAATCGTTTTAATTCTGAACTCTCACAAGATGGCATGACTTTTACAAGTTCGAACCATAATGGATCAAAAAAGGAATAAAAGACATTTCAAGGAGTGTATGTAAGCCTGACTCAAATGCCATAGTCATGACCAACTATTTTGATGAATAGACCCGCAGTACCAAGAAAACACCATGAACGAGGTGCGGCGAATCCTATGGAGTCGAGAAAACACATTAGCGTCAGCCAAGGCTCGCAGCCCATCCACTCGCAAAGCTCGAAGCCGGTGAAAAACTTCTAAAGCATCATACCAAGGGACGATAAAAAGACGTCCATGAACAAGAGCGCCAGGCAGCAACAACACCCAAGACAAACAACAAACATAGCTTCCATTCACAATCTCAAGGCTCACGGAAAAAGATGGTTCGAAGATGCGAAGGCACTATATGAAGCAGCTCACGACGACTGTAAAATCTTTGAGAAAGCGATTCCGCACCGACAGCGGAGGTTGCTTGATAGCGCAAAATACGCTTTTCACTGGCTACGAGAAATGCTAAGAAAAACTTCTTAATTTGGTAGATATTGCCAGTTCACTCGAGGCAGTAGATGTAGTGCAGCAGTTGCTCACTCAGCAAGATAGTAATGAATGACTCAGAACCCGTTGTTGATGGATGCATCGACGACCTATAAGGCGCGGTGACTTGCTAGAGAAGAGGCTAGCTCTCTATTAGGGCGCTTCATGTAAGACAGATGGATGTCCAAGTTGGTTGTTTACGTTCGAGCCTTGCAACGCTGCTTTCGCTACACCAATCGCTTTCAAAGGTATGAAGAGGGGCTAAACCGGTTGGAAGAGCACGGGTTGCTTCCAAGCACCCTCAACCTATCCCTACACATTTATGACAATCTATGATGACCCAAGCTCAGGATCTGGCTGCCAATTAAATATAGAATGACAGTCATTCACAACTTCTGAAAGGATTCTGTCCAATGCTTAGATTTCTTACACCTAGCCTGAATGTGGTGCATCCCGCCGTGTACATAGCTGGTCACATATTGTCGATGCCAAACTGCAGGGCGGGCTTCAAAACCACTGGGACCCTCTTGTGATACAGTAACCACAAACCCCGGCAAGCTGCTGCCACTGATAACTTCATCGCCTATAATTATTCAAACAATAAAAGTCAATACACCATGCCTACGGGTGACGGATATGCGCGTTCTCGAGAAAAGGGGTCGACAACGCGAAGTAAATCGGCATGTCGTTATCGCATTCCGTTACAACGCGATATTGGAGTCGAATAGCAAATCCCAAATTCCAGATCAGCAAGGCCATTTCGACAATTACTAAAGTGTCGGCAAGCTTTTTTCTCAATATACTTTGTCTTGAGCAATTGCAGGCGAAAAGCTTGAATACAATCACGAACGTTTAGGATGCCTTCTGGTCAGGAAACCAGGGGTCCGTTCTGATCCACCGCGGAATACAGCTGTAGCCAGTCTATGGATGGGTTGTTGATACATTATGTATCAAAAACAGCAAATGACCTGATCTACAGATACTCGAGATCCTCATGTCCCTGCCTTTCTAAGGAACTTCACCGAGAAAATCCTGATGAATCTCTTGATGGATCGATTGGACTTGAGCGATTCATTACTCGTTTGGCTCAGTCCGCTGACGCATCAGCTACAGCATTGATCTCTGCTCTTGTATACGTCCGCCGCCTTGTGTTGCATCCTCATGAGTCATGACACAGAGATATGCCCAGCAACATCTTACATTATTTTCCTCGCCGCCCTCATTGTGGCAACGAAATTCTTACACGACGAACCATGGGGTGGATTGGAAGGAAATAGTAGTATTGAGAACGTTGGATTCAGCACGCACGATATGAATACAGCGCAGAGGCTACTACTAGAGGATCTGAATTGGAAGGTGGCAGTGACTGAGAGCGATCTGAATAAAGAATTCGAGCGCTTTGAAGAAAGCTCGAAAATTGACACACAAACTGTTGATAGAGCGAGGTGGCTATTATTTGAGCATGTAAAGCAGAACGCGGCGCTGGCCGAGTTCGAACCGAAAATCGACAGTGTACTCCCGACCTGGAGTAACTGGAGACTTGGCGTCAATTTGGGCTTGTTTATCGGATTGTTGAATATCTCCCTTGTGTGGATTTTGGTCAAATATACACAGCATACAGCTCCCAATAGATATACTCGCTATAGTTGCTTCTGTTGTAATTGACTTCTCGATCGGTTTAATAGTGACGGAATGCTCTAGAGCGTGAACATCTTATTGATATAGAAATGTAAGAAATAAATTTGATTCCTCACGTCCGCCCTCGTCAAATCCAAGATTTGGAACGGATTAACGTTGAAGGTTTCATCCATGAAGGAAAAATTGCAATTGTCGCGATGAGAGTCAGTTGACCAAGACAGCATACATCCTGATGGGGTCCATATCATGTAATATGACCGAGGCTGCAGTTCATTGTCAATCAGAAGTAGGTCCTGGCCGAGCTATAGCCTATAGGTGAGTAAACGGGGAAAGGGGGCGCTTGAGGCTACCACTTTGACAACATCGTAAATGCCACACCAATGTACTTTCTGCACGATACAGACAGATTTTGCGCAGAGAATGGACTTTTGGCTGATTTTTTGGCATTTCGGTTAGTTCCTGGAAAAACTCCCTTTATCAAACCATCGGGAAGGGGCGTCATTGTCTGCCGAAGCTATCCGCAGGCGACATTATGGACTTCGATTAGGCCATTGGACTATCAAGTGACGGAATAACCCGCCGCAAAACTGATCAGATTCATTTGTGCCTATCTAAGGGAGGTCACGGAAGGTTATCCACAAATTACACGTGCCATTATAGCCTTTGAACTTGAGTAGGTACTCCGTAATGCGACCACGCCCTCGACTCTTCGTTCATCACGCCCACTCCAGCTTCAGATCGTCGTGGAAAACGTCAACTACGATGGGCGAGTGCCACCTAGTTGGAGGAACGCCGCTGCCGGGTCCCTGCCCCAGGGTCCCAGTGCGTGGTCTTATCGGGCTTAGTCGACAAACGCGCCAGGAACTCGCGGGGCATTTCCATCGGAAACTGGCGGTTTCCACTCGGGCGGTGGTCTGGCGAGAGCGCCATCCCTGTGCGCGCGAATCGGCTGCAGTTGCGGTGCAGCGAGTTGCGCAGGGTTGCTTCCCCGGTTCGCGATGGGTGGCGACAGGTGAGCTAGAGGCCTGTTGGCTGGTGTCAGTGGAAGGCGGCCCGGGCCCCGTCGTGGTGGGTAATGGACTAAGGGGCGGGCGGCTGCTTTCAGCTGCTGGGGAATTTTGCCGCCATCATCATTCCTCGTCTGTGTGGTTCTGCTTGGCCCCGCGGCTGGCGAAGGACTTGCCTGCGGAACCTTCTCGGTGTTGGGTTCGATGGGGGCAATTTTCGATCGGGGTGCTGTTAAGCCCTTGCCGTCGAAGTAGAAGGCAAGCATCTGCGCCGCCGATGCCCCAGCGATCTGGATGCAGCCTTCCCATGGGCTCGAGGAATGATTGCGGGGCTTTGGCTTCTAGTGCGCTCAGAATAATGCCATAGTCAGACGTGTGGGGCGGAAACTCTTTGAACTGAGAGTCGAGCTCGGGAGCCTGGTAATAGCCGGTGCCACAGATCGATTTGGCCAGCGAGTGGTGATTGGCGAACCCAAAGTCGGCCAGCTGGAATCGGATGCCACCGTTGTCGGGCAAGGTGTAATAGAGAATGTTGTCGGGCTTCAAGTCCCGATGAACCAGATCCTCGCTTGCCAGGTAGTCGAGGGCGCTGAGCATCTGTCCCAACACGTCCATGCAGAGCTGTTCATTGTTGGGAATCGGGATAGTCCGCATAAACGTGGTCAGAGAACCTTCTCGTAGCGGCATAAAGATCTCCGGATTGGGAGTGTGGAAGTCTCGTTGGCCTAGAAATTCGATAATGTGCGGCTAGGCGTATTGTCAGCGCCACTTGGAACGAGTGGGATAGGAGCCGTCAGGGAACGTATTACTAACGTGGCTTAACCTTTCCAGGACCTTGATTTCCCTATGGAGCAGGGCTCGAGCTGCATCAACGTCGCCGAATTTGTCAAGCTTAACCACTTTGATAGCAAATCTATGGCCTGAGATCTCGTCGACCGCTCTGTAGACTGTACCGAAAGCTCCCTCGCCTTCCACTTCTCGAATATGCGCGATATCTTGAAAATGAGAACCCTTCACCGTATTTAGCCTAGTTATGTGCCATGAAAGTACCTCTGAGTTACCGATTTCCGTCGGACGGTCACGCGATCGAACGTCCTGTAACAGTTGCAATGATGTCTGATAGTCTTGAATAGTGAGGGTTTTCATTGTCTCCTCGTTATCATATAACCAAAACAACTTGAACTCGTATAATGCAATGGAGATCTGATAACTCTGCTTGTAGAGAATAACACCATCGCCGGTGATTAGTCGTCCCGTTGCATTACCTTCTAGGACTTCCTTCTCTTCAGGACTTGGTTGTCCTGGGCCATTTGAGGCGCCGTCCTCCAGTACTGCAAATGTGACTGATGAGATCCGTTTCGATCGGACAGACAGAATGACAAGGTGGGTGGCAGGATTGATCTCAAAAGCGACGTGAACTGCAGACATAGGATGACTGAGTTTGCTTTGCGGGAGAATCAGATCAGCATTTCGTCCGAGTCTAGTGATGACATGGCCTTGAGGGATGGACGAGACATGATAGCCAACTTCAAGGCCAGACGGGCCCTCACGAGAGCTTGACACGAATCGTTTATTGTCCGGGTGCAGGAGGGCCTCGTGGGCGACCTGATTGATTGGTACAAGATGGAATAGTGTTTTTGGATGGGGGGGTTTTTGAGCCATGGCGAGAGGGGATGGAGAGACAGAAGAGGGCGGCCAGGGAAAAGCGAGAAGAGGATGGCATCTTATTCCTGTAAGACGAGGCAGCTTGGCGTAAGACTTTTACTACTATCGAAGATGCGTGCAGCAAGGGGGGTAGTATCTCCTTGGTGCCGTGACAGTGCAACGAGGCATCAGTAGGGTTAGCAGACAAATAAGAAGCTGGATCCTAAAGGTACTTACTCCGTAATCACCTACCCAAATTACCACATAACAAAGGTCCCGACAAGCCTCTATATTACAAAAGGCTACATCACACACGTCAAAGCCCCAGCGCGGTTTGGACTGCTACAATGTTGCTTGAGGTCAGCACCTCGTGGAGTCGTGGTAGGGATGTTGTGAAGCTCCTGGCCTCGCTGCAGCCTCAACGGCACTGAAGGAATCGTGGCCAATGAATCATTATTACGGGGTTGGCTGCCTGACTGGCCCCATAAATTTCATTGCCCGGCGTTAATTCTTCCTGCGGAATATCCACAAAACTTCAAATCTATTGGCTTTTGTTTACTCGTGCCCGCCCCACTATTTTAGGCGTCTCGTTTCACTCGCCTCGATGACAAAACTTCAAATCTATTGGCTTTTGTTTACCCGTTGGCCAACAAACTTTTATCCATTTAGTCACTGACAGGTACATGGTATTTCCCACGGCGCGCCATTCCTACCCAACTTCATTGTTTGTTCTCTCGATGGCTTCCCGCCCCTTTCTTAACCGGTCTGACTGTTAAATCATGCCTCCCTTTGTTGATCGTGTCCAACTTTACGAGGCTGTGAGCAGCCAAGCCATCCCCGTCCTGGAGGCAATTGCAGCAAACGATCATCTGCGATCGCTCCGCCGCTTTGAGCGCGATGATCCTCCGCCCTACGTGTCGTCAACCGAGTCGTCAGAGCATGAAGACGTTGATCTCATCCCGCGACCGCGAGGCGGCCCAATGCCAGAAGAGCTGAAAGCCATTATGGAACAGCCTCTCACCCAGGACGAACGCGACGAAATTTCAGGTTTTATGCTTAAGCTTACACGTCCCGACGACTTTTATTACGCAGAGGCACATCGCGAACGAAGCCGGCTCGACCGCTTTCCGCTGCCCGAGATATTCTTTAGAGGCCTAAATGGATATCGGCGCCAGGGTGTTATCGTTCGTCATCTCGTCAAGCGGCGTTGGGAGAAACTCGGCGTCTGGAATCCTAACTGGGGGTTTGCTGGGCGTAAGGTGCAACCCAGCGATAATTTCAAGAATTGGACGTGGTGGTGGCAACCTAAAGGGGCGGCCGACGACCCGGAGCGCAGACGCAAGAATGGGCGTGAGCTTGTTGCACGCGCCCTACAACTGCGCCAAAACCTGCGACGCGGCGAGCATGCTCCTGTTTTGCCGCGATCTCACCTGGGACAAGATACAACTGCCGCCCAAGCTGAGGGGTTCCTTATTTCCAGGCCGTGGTTTGTCTTTCAGATTGAAGTAGCTGAAGAAAATAAAAGATACAATCGCCTCTCCTTGGAAGATCAAAGACGCTATCCATATTCTGCCCGAAACCAAGTTCTCAAGTGGTGGCAAGAACGTGGAGACCGTGCACATGCCTGGAAGTGGCGGCACGAGTCGCCTTCCCCCGAGCCCGAAGACCTCGCGCCTGTTAAAAATATGAATAGCAGCCCGCTGGATGTGGCCGCGGATATGGAGTTCACTCCTTCCGAGATCGATGAGTTTGAGACCATTGCGCTCCCGAAATCCGAACAGCCCGAGGGTTTCTGGGTTATAGAAGAGAGCGACTGGCCACCATTCTTTCCTGGACAGATGCAAGACGTTGAAGCAAGGGTTAGGAAAAGCGAGATAGAAAGGCTTGAGAGGCTTGAGAAAGCAAGAGCTGAGGGGCGCGAAATACCGATTGATCCTGGCGTCAAATTCTGCATGGAAAAAAACTTTCCAGGACCGGGGCCGTCTCGTCTCTTCGCTCCGCCACAAGCAGTACAGCACGAAGTATCATCCCCAGAGGGGCATGAGGCATCCATGGAGCTCCCAGAGGACGCATCTGAACCACAACGAGACGCCGCTTGCCCTCCACCACAGAAGCGACGACGCCTGAGGCAGCAGCAATCACGAGACGGGGTGGACGAGGCCCAAGGCCTGGACCAACCCCCTCCGCCACCGCCCCGACGCAGTGCCAGGATCGCAGGCATGAAACGCCCCGCGGAGCTCTTACCATCGCAAATGGCACCGAACAAGAGACCCAGGGGCAGAGCAGCACCAAAGGCTGCAGCACCTACCGCCCAGCCTACCTCACGGGAGACGCGTCGCACCAAGACAAACCTCGTCCCTGCACGGCCCCTATCAAAGGAGGAGACGAAAACTCGACCGAGGCGAGGACCGGGGCGTCCGAGGAAGGCGAGCGTACCAAGCATGCGTTCTACCGTGGGGACAAGACCCGAGAGTACACCGGCTCCGGCCGGGACGAGGAGCAGCAGGGCTGCGGGAACGGATGCGCCGGGTATGCCCAAGCGACGAGGGAGGCCGAGGAAGAATGAATGATATGAAGCAATTCCCCCGGATAAGAAAGACGTGGGAGGGTCTTAGGGGGGCGGGACGCGTTAAACAGCAAACGAGTGACGGGACTTGCGATCGACCCTGAGATATCTCCTCACATTTTCTGTTGACCAAGAGAAGGCGTGTAGTATAAGCTAGAGGTGATAGCAGGCTACAGACGAGAACAGGAAATACCTAAATTGTGCCTAAAATTTGTACCGAGCAGGAACCAAGGAGCTCCCATGGCCGAGCCCGGTCCTGGCCAAGATGCAGAGATAGCCTCAAAGCGAAAATGGGTTGGGCAGAAAGGAGTCACATAGGACCCCGTTGTAGTGGGAGCCGATTATTCGGCCATGCGAGACAATCTAGGATCCCTTCCAGTCTTGGAAAATAAGTTAAGTTTCCCATCCCTTGGCAGTATTTTCACTCCGTACATCGTCTAGTGCTAAGTTGATTTGTAATCGCCTACATAGCCCTTAGCCGACGGTAGCATCCTGAATATGGCTACGAGTCGATAAAAAAGGAGCTGTGACGATATTCTCCTAGACGCACAAAAAGATGTCCCATTTAGAGGCAAAAGTCTAGAGCGATGCCTGCTTGGCCAAGATCTGGTAAACCCCCTGTTGAGCACAACTGGCAAACCGAGGCTTCCTGCGCTCTAGGCTCTTTTCAATGTGTCTCGTCAATCACAAAATCCGGCGTTTGTCCATAAACTCAAAAAGTTTTCCCTTGACTGCATATGCGTCAGTTCCAACATTAACGGCAACCACATCTTCCTCCAAGCCAATAATGTTCCGCGACCGTTTATCGTAAATTTCTGCAGGACACACATTCAAGGAGCCGAGAAGCCGTTTCTAGGTGATGGTTCTTGGTCTTGATATAGAGGCCTATCATATGGGTTGGACACATGGTACTCCCAAAGCCTGAGTAGTCACCATCATATGTATCTTCCTAAAACAGTCGCACGGTACTAACAGCTCAAGTTCCTATCCGCAGCAGGCAGTATTTGGTTAGAGAGTTGAGAAAAAGGATTCTGAATATTTGTCGGTATCCCCACCATAGAGTAGTTTGGGTGTCATCTGCGTTGTCCACAATTAGGAGAATAAAATAGATTGTTGTTAAGGGGTTGAGGCGTACCAGCCTAAAACATCTGAGATCAATCGAGGCCAGGTTGTAGCTAGCATCTGCGGGTTGTTCATGGATGTAGAAATATTTGCATGACGATTGAAACACCTTCTTCAAAACGTCATTTCGATAAAACCGAGCACCGCAAAGCTCACAGGTGCAACAATGGTCGCCGGTATCTAAATGCCAAAGGAGTTCGCCTGCGCAAGTCGAACGATAGAAAACAAGGACACAAGGGGCAGTGTATTTTGCCTGCTTAAAATTTTGGCTCAGGTTTGAACACTTACGACGAAGGAGGTGGCGTTTTAAATTTTTCCAATGAATGTATGTTTAGGTGCAATGAGGGATAGGGAACGTGCCGGTAGCATTCGTGACGGGAATAACGGTACTCTTTGTACCAGTACCAGCAGTAGCATGACACGGTTATTCTTTTGCTTCTTGGTAGTCGCTTTGAGGCCCTGCCATGAGAGAGATACACCGTAAAAGCAGAGCAGAACATAGCCAAAGGACTTCATATCATCTAGACGAGACCATTGAGTGCCCAAATGAGTGTTAATAGATGCATATTGGAAGAAGAGGGCATAAAGTTTCTTTGGTGCGATTGTTATTAGTTTAATTTTAATAAAAGTATAATTTTAAGTAAAGCTTAAACTTATTTAAAGCTTATTATTAAGTCTTTTTAAGGCTTTTATATTACGTAAAATACCTTTAAATATCTTCTTAAAATATTATTCTTTTAATAAAAAGATTATAAAGTTATAAGGCCTTATAAGTATATTTAAAACGCTTATATTATATTATAAGTAAGTATAAAAGATAGCTTTATTATTTA